CCCTCTTCCCTCACATTTAAATGTACAATGCACCTGTACTAGACCTTACAAATTGACTCTTGTCAACCACCCCCACCCCATCCCACCACGTCCCTCTCGTGCTATCCCTTATACCAGACCATACAAATTGACCCAGAGTCTTGACTTCATTGTATCAAACATCCCTCCCCACCATCTCATATAATAGTACAGTGTTCCTGAATTGTTTGTATAAGACAAATTAAATCTATATTTTTTTCTTCATATTTTTCATTGGTTCAAATACAAAAACCTCCTGTGTCAAATTATCAAATCCTTGTAAATTAAGATTATATAAAGTCTTGTATGTAAGGCTGTTTTATACTGTATATAAATGATGTATTTAAAGTGTCGAATTCTGGGTGCGTGCTGTATATAAAATTATATATATATCTGTATTCGTGTTATTTGTAAACCCTATCAAATGACAGATCATTTATCACTCCCGTCCTGATATCTACATTCCTGGCTTCTTATTTCATCTTTCCTTTCTTTTCCTTCCTTTCCTACCCACCATGAACCCTCTATAACTCTGCTTGCTGAGTGTTCATCTGTAACTGTGTGTACATGTGTAATGAACGGACCCGATCGCCGCACTATATATATAACTGTGTTTGTGTTTGATGATTATGGGTAATAATTTAGTGACCTGGTTTACTTTCGGACACACTGCGTTCTGACTATGGAACACTTTATTTTCTTTATTAATCTCATGAAAATGTTAAAAGGAGTGTGGTTATATATGATGTACACGGTGATCAAATTATCACATGTTGTGAAATTTGTCTTATCTAATCTAATTTGATAACCCGAACTCTTTTTTTAAACAAATACTTCTTTTTCCTGTAATGAGGTTCACCCGAACCCAGGTCCCGTTGAACATCTGAACATACGTAGTTTAAGAAACAAGTTATAACATTTAGAACACATAACATCTTATTTTGATATATAGTTTGTATTACAGAGACTCACCTTGATTTACATATAGCTGACGATGACAAACTCTTGGGTGCCGGAGATTAATGTGTACACTTCCAGTCTCCTGTGCACGTGTCATAGAAATTTCTTATAATTTTCTTCCTGTGAAATTGTATGGGTGGAGGTCCAGTTTCCCCGTAAAAAAAAATCCTTGTATGCACAGTTCGAAGACCACTAAATAGTCCTCACACTTTTTGAGACTTCCTTCGTTTCTCAACTGAAAAAGCTTTGAATGAAACTACACTTGAAGTTATACTTTGTGATATAAATGTTGACTTTCTAGTATTAGATGATAACCACACACTCGTTGACATAATGAAATCCTAAAGTTTAACTAACGTGATCAACAGACCGACATGGATTGGATGCACGCGCAACTCGCTTTTGACCCAATTCTTATTTCTGACACGTGCACTTTTACAACGACAGACGAAATCGACATAGACCGTGACATTTCCGACCAGCAAGCAACAACTGTGGAGGTGACTGTTGGGACTAACATTGTAAAAAGTTATAGAAGAAAAGTTACATATTATAAGGATGCAGATTATGAACATTTTAACAATCTACTTTTAGATACATTTTGGACTGAACTTTTTATGGACAAACATTCAGCAGACGTGTGACATTTTTACTACTAGGTACTTAGAAATTACTGATGAGCGTATTCCTTATAAAACAGTTACAATTGTACCTAATGACAAATCGTGGTTCAACTCCGACTTAAGACGAGAAATAAGAAAAAGAAACAGAATACTACAAACATATAAATGCTGTCGTACCCCTTATAATTTAAGTTTCATAAAACAGCGAAATTGCGTAAACAATCTGAAAAAAAAGACAAGAGATTTTTTATGCGGACATAATTGCTTGTACAATAAATACCAATACCCAGCATGGAAGTTATTGGACACTAAATTATACAGCAACTTGCGTTTTTAAACCACTGGACTGTGCAAGCCGTACTAGTATTCAGCAGTAGGGCTAATCTTGAAAAAAAAAACCCGAACTCACAAATTTTCTCCTCGGTTGTAATTTTAATAACACAATTTCAAGTCATACAATTTTGAGTATAAAATGGAAACGTTACGTCTCCTGGAAGAAAAAAAACGTAATGTTTTCTGGCAAAAATCAATTAGATGTAATCACTGTACTAAAACGCCCTCACTATATACTTAATCATTGAAAACTCGCCGAGAGCAGTTTCTTTATCATTTAACAATTCCAACATTTCACTTAAACGAACAGTTTTTTAAACAAAACTTCAGAACTGTATTTAGTCACTTATATCTGGTCTTTCGTATTGAGAATAGAGCTAGTAGACGGAGAAGTTGTCGTCTTTCTGTTTTCGAAACACATTCAGGAAAAATGTAGAGAGATTCGATGCAGGAAGTCGGGTTCAGGTTGAACTACTAATTTATTGTTTTTTGGCGGGAAATGTACTAATAATTGATTGTTGATTGCTTTTGACGGAAAATGTACTCAGGAACACAGAACAAATGTGATTGGTTCGTGGCAGTTGATTGACGGACCTGTGGTGTATATGTATTGGGTGAAGAGATGGGAGATAATTGCTTGGTCTTATCGCTCCATCGCTAAGGATTAGGTACGATTCAGCATTTAGTATTACTTATATTGGAACTCTTTTGTATGAAAAGTTGCGAAAAGGAAATAAAAGAAATAGAGAGAGGGACTCGGCACTCTGGACAGATTTGTTTATCGTCATTTGTTACCATACCAGATTCCCCGATCACAAAACATGATACAAGCCTGTTATTGAATGTCAATAGACTTGTGTACACGAGATATTTCGCGAACTCGTAACCGCCCACAGAAATATCTCGTGATACACTCGTCTAGACATCCAATAACTGTAACTCAAATCCTAGAGTTTTTGGAAAATCGTCCACAGACTAAAGAAGACAGTGAATTCTTTAAATGTTATACGATCTTTAAAGAGGGCAACTCGAGTTACAGAAATGGACGATGACATTGAGACTACCATACTTAACGACTACTTTGTCTCGATATCTACTTTTGACGGTGCTAACGTTGACGTACCTGCTGTTGAACCCAGAACCGACACTAACAAATCAGACATCCCTTTCACTATTAACGACATAACAGACATTCTGTTGACATTAAAATCAGGGAAAGCAGTAGGTTTATACACCATTAGTCACACCATGTTAAAAACACAACTGCTTATCTTCTCTCTTTAATTCCTTCCCCAAACAATGGAAACATGTTTTAATAATGCCATTAAAAAAAGGCGACGAGTATCAAATTACAAACCAATCACTCTATTAAGTACTATTGGTAAATTGTTTGAAAGACTGGTTGCTAATTTTTTTACTTAATTAACTTTTTAAATAATTCACTCCTTTACAAATTTCAGTCAGGTTTTCAACCAGGACATTCCACTGTGCATCAACTAATTGAAATTGAATCAATATATATGTGTCAATCTTGAAAATAATAAGCCTACATGTTTAGATTTTGTGACATTTCTAAGGCATTCGATCGCGTGTGGCATAGGGGACTGGAAGTGAAAATTGGCTAGTTATGGGATAACAGGTAAGTTACTTGACTGGATAATGAATTAAGTTAGTCAACAAGTTTTTAATGGAAATAGCAAATCCTGTATTGATAAATCAAATGCAGGCGTACTACAAGGCTCTATTCATGACCTTTTACTATTTATAATATGTATCAATGATATAACAGACAATTTGTTAAGTTATCTACAACATATTTGTGCCGACAACCAAGTTTAATCAGTGAAAAACATATATGGTGAACCTACAAACCGTGGATACAGCTAACAGGTACATGTAGGTTCTGTAAAATAGCCTCTCGTTATTTATAACCCTTGTTCCTACCAACCACTACATGTGAGTAAACCAGGACTTCTGATCAGCCCTAACCGTCCAGATTGTGTCTAACATCTGACAAATAAGTACAATGTCATAGCACTTTGTATGTCGCACGTAAGAAAGTTAGTGTCACCTAACTTTTTATCACATATCCTATTTTTCTGTTTAAAGTGAATAAGTCTGCAGCCACATATTATCCCTAGAAAGCATCGTTTTATAAATATTTGTACCTGAAGTACTACAGCCAAACAAATATTAATTCTAACATCTTTTATGTCTGTCTCAAGATGTTATCAGTTCTGTCCATATCTATAACTACTGTTCTTGCTGAATTTGATAGGAATAAATGACATTAATTTGAGATATCCCGTCCACATGGTACGACTTTAAACCAGAGGTCACACAATAAGCTACCATGAATCCCTATACTGGTAAAAAGTGACAAAATGTTTGGTTGTATTCCTTTGAAATTTTGACAAACTTCTAATTAGATGTTTTTGTGACATAGATTACATGTAGGTAAAAAGCTAGTTGTATTGTTAATTTCTAGTTTATAATAATGTCGGTAGGACAAGGCTGTTGTTTAATGTATTTGTCTGTAGTGGAAAATAAAACTTAGGTTTATATATAAACAAAAAATACCTGCAAGTGTTGACTGGAAAAACTGTCAGATTTCTGACAAAATATCATCACTTGTCTAATGACTCAAACTGATGAAGAGTATTGAAACTAATAAAACCTGTATGTTTTACAACACCACTGTTAACTTTAAATAAATCTTCAGTTTTATCAATCAGTATCACATCATTTCTTAATTTTACTACATATTATGTCGGATTGATAACCTGTCACTATTCACCAATATTGTGTATGTCTACCTGTCACTATTCACCAATATTGTGTATGTCTATGTATTGTCTACATGATATCACTAATTAACAAATTTTAACACCTTGATTTTTTTCCCCACATCATTCAGCACCTAAATTTTACAGAGTACTAATCAACATTTGACTTCTAATGAATATAAAATTATCTGTAATTCTAGACTCCATGTAAAGCCCTGGTGGAGGTAACAATTAGGGAAGATAAACACATTCTAGTGACAAACAAATCAAAACAAAGACATTGTAGGTTTTTATATACTTTATTTCCCACTGTTTAGGTGGAGTAATGTTTCATTAGAATTAGGCAAATCATCAGTAAGTAATGACACAGGACTGGTCAAGTGACCAGTGTCCGGAGTGATGACACAGGACCGGTTAACGGACCAGTGTCCTGGGTGATGACACAGGACTGGTCAACAGACCAGTCACTCGAGTTATAACACAGGACTGGTCAATGGACCATTGTCCTGAGTGATGACACAGGACTGGTCAACTGACCCGTCACTCGAGTTATGACACAAGACTGGTCAAGTGACCAGTGACTTGAGTAATGACACAGGACTAGTCAACTGACCAGTAACGACAAAGAATTGGTCAACTGACCAGTATCCCAAGTAATGATTCAGGACTAGTCACATGACCATCGTTCTGATTAAAAACACAGAACTGGTCAATTGACCAGAGTCCTGAGTAATGACACAGAACTGGTCAGTTGACTGGTGTCTACAACAATGTTTGATGATTACAGCACTACACCTAGGTCACACCACAGGTATATAAATATACTGCTGAAAGAAATTCTGGTCATTTAGAGGTGAGATAGTAGTCTCAGAAATAGAGACACGTTTCACCAGTCGAGAGTAAAATGTTTTCTGTCCAGATCACCTTTTTCCAAAATGCTGACAAGTCACCTACTATAGGATCTCAAAATGTCAACAACTCTTGTGATCTAAAAATCACTAAAACTGATGAATATTGTACTACTTTCTCAAAGTTATGACATCAATGCCAAGCTTCCTGTCTGACCAGAATAACCTTCAGCTCTAACACTATACTGAGTTTTACTGGTAACACCTCAGTAAACATCACAATACAAACATAGCAAATCTCTGGACTTCATACTATATACTGTCTCTCTATATTTACAAGAAATAAACACTACAATGTTATATCCATGTAAAGTTGACAGTCCCCCAGACCATTGTAGTACTGCTCCCGGTACTTGATAATAAACAATAATTACAGAAAAAGACAACTGTTACTTAAATGCATATTCCAGGGCTTCCATTTTCATGGATTCTACGTTGCTTTCTAAGTAGGTAAGCAGTTTGGGATTTCCTGTGAGTATTGGTTGATGATGACCATGACAATCAATAGTGGTAATATGAGACATTTGTTTTCTTAATCACTAGTGGTAATGCTAGACATTTGTTTTCTAAGTCAATAGTTATAATGCTACACATTTGTTTTTTTAATCACTAGTGGTAATGCTAGACATTTGTTTTCTAAGTCAATAGTCATAATGCCAGACATTTGTTTTCTAAGTCAATAGTCGTTATACGAGACATTTGTTTTCTAAGTCAATAGTTATAATGCCAGACATTTGTTTTCTAAGTCAATAGTCGTTATACGAGTCATTTGTTTTCTAAGTCACTAGACATAATGCTAGACATTTGTTTCCTTAGTCACTAGTGGTAATGCCAGACATTTGTTTTCTTAATCACTAGTGGTAATATCAGACATTTGATTTCTTAATCACTAGTCATATTACAAGACATTTGTTTTCTTAATCACTAGTGGTAATGCCAGACATTTGTTTTCTAAGTCAATAGTCGTTATATGAGACATTTGTTTTCTAAGTCAATAGTCATAATGCTAGACATTTGTTTTCTTAATCACTAGTGGTAATGCCAGACATTTGTTTTCTTAATCACTAGTCATATTACAAGACATTTGTTTTCTTAATCACTAGTGGTAATGCCAGACATTTGTTTTCTAAGTCAATAGTCATAATGCAAGACATTTGTTTTCTTAATCACTAGTGGTAATGCCAGACATTTGTTTTCTAAGTCAATAGTCATAATGCTAGACATTTTTTTTCTTATTCACTAGTCATAATGCTAGACATTTGTTTTCTTATTCACTAGTCATAATGCCATACATTGGTTTTCACAACCATTTGTGGTTAATGCAAGACTTTGTTTTTCAATCACTAATGGTAATGTAGGAATTCTGATTTCTCAGCACATTTTGTATTATAAATATATTATTATAAATGATGTTTGATTGGTGTTGGGAACAAACTACAGTACCTACAGGAAAGTCACCATTGGAATGTAGAAATAATGCAAGCTACCTAATAACTCTCCGCCACACTCAGGAGATGGACTAAGGGGAGACAACCTACCAGTAGAATATTTCTCTGTATTTAGCATCTTATTTTTAAAATTATTGTACTATAAAGCAAAGCATGAATACTGTTTAATGTCACAGAGCCCTTCTTAATGTACTTATTTCTTTAAAACAGTTAATTTCTCTGTAAAATGGCAATTTTTTTAATACCTTTACTGAGCCAAGAAACATTTCTTAAGAAATACAGTAACTCTTTGAAACTATGAAATTAGTTCAACAAAGCAGCTTCTAATTGGGCCCCAGACATCAAAAAAAGTTAAAAGAACTTATTTTTTTTATAAGCAAAATATTGATCTACAGAGCTGATAGTTCTACAACATCATTCCCTGAAACTTCTACCGCTAAAGGCTAAATAATATATAAAGTAGAACAGATTAATTTATAGTGGTGTGCTGCCATATATACTGTGGATATGGAGTAACCTCCCTTGTCCAGAACTCTCACACTTTTACCTTGCATCACATATAAAAACATTTCCACTTTCACATTAAACAAACACTCTCTCCACATGAATGATGTACACATTTTAGTCTTCATTCATTCTTTAGAACATCTATCATATTCTGTGTTTGTTGTCACATGACCACATACCAAATTGTCATATGACTATAAAGTCACATAATTGCATCACTCATACTGTTGTCACTCATGCATACCTCACAAACAATTGTTTATAAATTACAAAATGTAAACATAGCGTGAGCTTATATGAAAAATGCCACACAGAAAAATTGAAGTAGCCACTAATACTGTACAGTGGAATCTGCCTGTCGACAGAAGGATATCCTCCCATGGGCAAGGAATCCATTCTTTTAAATATGTTTTGGTTTTCACAAAAAAACCCCAAAAAAAACATTGAATTGAAGATTGCACAAGAATTGGCTGACCGTTAGAGATCATGCCACAAATGTGGCTTCTGTATGGCCACTTTGTCCGGGCTATGCCCAATTAGTCTTTGGAAACACCCACTAGAACCTGGGGCCACCCCCATTATTCAAGCCACATCAATAGGCCCTGCTCATTAAATGTCTTGAGCAAAGCTAAGAATAACATCAGGATTTCATCATTTCTTCTTTTCCTGATTGTCAAGCTTCAACCTTATTTACAACTCAATTCACAAGTCGCAAACTGCTGCCACATTGTCAACACCAGTTAAACTATCCTATTGGAGAAGTTGTGTGCTGTCTAATATCTACTCTTCCATATGTTTACGCCTGTGGGTCGATGCATTTCGTCACAACCAAGGACATGAGGTGTTTACAGCATTAGCCATGAAGGTCAGTGCTAAAGCGGGTGAGGTCAGTGGTGGAGATGACCTCCAGGACCAAAGCGTTCGCGATCCATGGCCAGCTGGCGCTGTATTGCCTCCTGGTGAGCAGCCTGGGCAGACAGCTACAAAGGGAGATAACTCATTTTAAAACAAGAACAGCAATTTTTCTGAAATAGTCCAGGCAGACAGCTACAAAGGGAGTTAACTCATAAAATTATAAAACATCCAATACAGATATTTTGCGTGTGACACATTTATCAACATTTTCACTGAAGTACTTTAAATAAAAATAAAAAAACTATCTAAAACAATTCTTTTCTTTTTCCTGTTATTATTTGGTTTTAATGAAAAGCATGTCTACAACTCACAGTTTTCTACATACATTGTCTATAGTGTCAGCATTTAAAGATAAATTTGATGGCTTCAAAATATGGGACTTTTGCCTTCAGGTATGACACGTATGGACCAGAGACAGAAAGACTGACCACTGACAGAAGGATGGACCACAGATACAGGAATGGACTAGACAGAAGGATGACCCACAGAGAGAAGGATGGACTACAGACAGAAGGATTGACCAGACAGAAGGATGAACCACAGAGAGAAGGATGAATTACAGAGAGAAGGATGGACTACAGGCAGAAAGATGAATCACAGACAGGATTGACCACAGTCAGGAGAATGGACCACAGTCTGGGAAGACAGCTAATATGAACATATAGGAAGAAACAGTAAGAACATTTACATGGCTTGGAACAAAAATTACAGCAACTACTGGATTTTCTTTTTAACAAGTTAACAAAATCTTACCTTGATTTCTATCAGATCAGAAAAAGCAAGACTTGAAGGAAAAGCTATATCGTCAGACTACACGAGACATTCCTTGTATCTATGTTTAAGTCTAAGACAAGAGAGAGTTTGGAAGATATAACTAAAACCCACCTGATGAGCAAATGCGGGGTCTGCATAGGCTCGTCTATAGAGATCACTTTGCAGCATCTCCTGTTCACGCCCTGCTAGCAGTGCTGCGTGTGGTGGCAGTCCCTGGGGTAGAGACTGAAGGTGTGGCCCAGCACTTGACGTCGGGGGGTTAGAACTGTTCATTCCTGAGGCTAATGGATCAGCTCCTGCAAAGTCAGATCAAAATTTTGTGTCATATTTCTGTAAAACGTCACACGATAACATGAAACTCAAATACATGTAACTAATAACACACAAATGTTCATACAAAACTCGAATACATATAACTAATAACACAGAAACGTTAATACAAAACTTGAAAACATATAACTAACAACGCACACATGATAACACAAAACTCAAATATATATATCTAATAACCCACACACGATAACACAAAACTCAAATATATATATATCTAGTACCACATATACGTTACACAGGACTAAAATATATAGATCTAATAACACAAACACAGTACTAAAATATATATATCTAATACCACATATATGTAACATAGAGCTAAAATACTTAGATCTTACAACATACACAGGTAACATAGGTTTATAACACCGGTTTATATAATCAAAATTTGAAATATATTTAAATGTATGGAAATGAGAATTTGTGTGATTATAAGAAAGAAATGTTATGTAAAATTATTTGCATAAAAACTTCAACAAAATGATTTTATTTTTAGTTTCTATGTAACAATAGATATTAGCCACAAATTACCACACATGTGGCATTTAATAATCAATTTGATCTCTTTTATTGACAGCAACTAGGCTGTCTCACATTTGATCTTTTAAAACAGTCCCTAGAATACCTATTGTCACTCATGGATATATACTTCTGTCAACAATGGCTATAAATCCCTATTGTGTTTCTCTGGAAGCGGAGAAACAGCTGACATAGTTGTTTCCTAGGGTAAGACACACTTAACCCTTATTGGTCAGGACACTCTCCCAAACATTGTTCAGGTCCTGCTACTACAAGGAGACTCAATTTCAAACTGACCTTGGCTGTTCATTGGCCATAAACCCGGAAAACCAAAATCCCTACAAATCATTTCATCACGGCCAATATTGTTATCTTTGACCAATGACTACCAAAACTGTTCAAGGGTTGATGAGGGTACACAAAATTATCACATTTGATGTTTAGAGAGGCCAGGTACCTATGTTTAACAGTGTCAGTCCTTTGTGATTTTAGTTTATAACAGATAAAACATATTTCATATTGAACAGGAAAATTTTCATTTCTTTTGTTAGGAACAGGTTTAATATACATTTAATAAAATTTTTAAAAAAAAAAAAAAAAAAAAAAAACCAACCAACATCTATTTCAATCAATTTTGACAATATTCCAAAATTTTACACAGCACCAATGTAAATTGTTTAAATTTAGTTTTTTCCATAAATACTGTACACACCGTTTCCTTTTCAGTATATTTTCATAGAAAAGTAAAACATATTAAAATCTTGCAAAAATTTTAAACCATCACAATTCATGAAAGTATGCGATGTTTAAAAATATTTTTTTATGTAAGTGTATATCAACAATAAAGTATCATATATTGGAATGTTACAAAATTCAACAAGGCCACCAAATCAATATTAGGATGCAAGTTTATATAGTATTTCTTTAATGTAAATAACACTGCACAATGTCACATACATCTATACAGTATTCTGCATGCGATATCAAGATTGATACACAAGGAGAAGTAGTAGTGATGGCACGATAAGAGTATGCTGTCTCTCAAAATTTTGTCTGCTTTTTTCATATTTCTTTAATTTGTTTCAGAATTTTCCAACATTGTAGTCAATTTTGCCAAATTTAATTTGAAGAAGTTCAGCACACACAGAGATGGAAAAAATAGACGGAAACACCAGCAGAAGATTTTGTCTTAATCATTACAAACTTATTTCAGATAATTGCATTTACTTAAATGAGAAAATATAGACAAATCAAGAAAAGCACACAATCATGCTTTACATCAGTGTTCTGTAGCAAGGTTTCTTCTACTAAACAACAAATAAACACAAATACAAGGCTTCATCACCAACATTCTTTTATGTGATTCAGTTAACGAAAAAAAAAAAAAAAAAAAAATGAAAATCAAAAATATTTAAAAACAACGGAAGGAGAGAAATAAAAAGCATCTACTTTTGTAATGAAATAATAAGGAACTAAAGAGATTGGAGAAAGCAGGGAAAAAAAACTAAACGGGAACTATGGCAAAAAGGAAAGCAGAGGAGAGTCAATCACTGACAATAGTTGGACATGTATGTTTGTCGTTCTTGAGAACGCACTTACTAGAAAACTGATAGGCCAAATGTGAGGTCGGATCAAGCATACCCCTATCATGCTTTGAGCGGAGGATGCACTCGTTAGAAACTCTTTGCATGTAGATTTGCTCATTTGTAAGGCGCTGAGTGTAAAATTGGTATATCATTCTCCCGGTCAATTGATCAGAATGTAGAATATCTGTAACGACAATTAGAGGTAGTGATTAATCATGAGAGACGACGACAGCTTACCTGGTGGTAGGGGAGGGAGAAAGTGATGTGGCAGGCCGTGCAGCGACGGGTGAAATTGGGAGCCCGAGGCTGCTGCTGCTGCGGCTGCTGCATCCTGCTGGTGAAGGTGGAGATGAGTGTGCGAGTGTGCATGTGTGTGCGTGTGACCAGACGGTGACATGCCCAGGTTGCCCATCTGTAGTCGAACCATGGGGTCGGTGGCGAGGGCCATACGCTCCGCATGTAGCCGCTCGGCCGACAGTCGCTCCACTGTGTTAGAGTATGCAGCCATGTCTGCACCAGCAGGGTGCACTAGATGACACTGAGGGAACCCTACACGTAAACATGTAAAGAAAAGTCACTGGTGATGAGAGCACTATAACCGTGTTACATCAGTCTTCTGGATCTGATAATAACCTGTGAATAACTCTTCCAACTTACCTTTCATATCTTACATGGCAAACAAGACAATACAATAGCTGTCAATTACATTCATACATTTGGTCAAAATTCAAATATTTTTTCTTGAAAAATTGAACCTTGATTTATTACATTCACTATGATGTATAATTATGAATAAATATATAATGAAATTAACATTCATATGTTAGTGCCTGAGGGAGCAAGTTTCTACACATCATCACCCAAATGTTGATAAGGTATAAGGTATGGACTTACTCAGCATGTAGGATATAAAGCAACATTACCAGATGTAAATCTCCAGTATCAATTTTCAGTGAGGTTTATTCACATCTAATTGACAGCTACTAAATTTTCATACATATACATATATTTTATTTAAATCAGGATTTTGGACATGAAATCAAATACATATTCAGCAGTCACGTCAAAATCAGCGTCAAATAATATTAAGAAACATTTGAAAATTCTTCACAGATGTGAGGGCAGTAAAATTTCTTCCATTTTTCCCCCAAGTTGTCTCCATTTAATACCCTGTCCCCAGCCATTAACTTTAGGTAGAAAATATCCCAGAAATTTTTGGCTGTGAAATATCGGTATTGTCTCCCTTACTTTGCTAATGGACCTTATGGTCTTATTGGTTATGTTCCTTCAAAGTTTTAAATTCACAACATCAATGAGAAATTCATTTAGTGATGATGGTGAGGTGAAAACACCAAGCATTTAATCATGTATTCACAAAATCCCTGAGTCTTAATGTATTTTAAATCTTACCAAAATACTCACAACTTACCAAGCCTATTTGGTACAGTTTTCAATGGGCAGTTCACCTCCCTAACATGCATTCCATTTTCTTTGTCACAAAAAAACAAAACATATTGTGAAAATTTCATCTAGATTTTTGCAGTAACAAGACAAAACTGAAAGGTACTCCCTGAAACGCTGTATTTAGGCCTGAAAGAATAAAAACCCTCGGGAAACCTTACACAAGCTGATACCCAACTGTTAAAAACTTGAGGCATCTCTTACGTATGCGGATACACATCTGTTAAAAACTCCAGGCATCCCTTACACAAGCTGATACACGTCTGTTAAAAACTCCAGGCATCCCTTACATAAGCTAATACACATCTTTTAAAAACTTCAGGCGTCCCTTACACATATTCTGATACACATCTGTTAAAAACTCAAGGCGTCCCTTACACAAGATGATACACATCTGTTAAAAAATCTAGATGCCCCTTTCATAAGCTTATATACATCTATTAAAAACTCCTGGCGTCCCTTTCACATATTCTGGTACATATCTGTTAAAAACTTCACGCGTCCCTTAAACAAGCTGATACACATCTATTAAAAACTTCAGGCGTCCCTTACACAAGATGATACCAAACTGTTAAAAACTTCACGCATCCCTTACACAAGATAACACACATCTGTTGAAAACTCCAGGCGTCCCTTACACAAGATGATACACATCTGTTAAAACTCTAGGTGCCCCTTACACAAGATAATACACATCTGTTGAAAACTTCAGGCGTCCCTTACACATATTCTGATATATATCTGTTAAAAACTTCACGCGTCCCTTAAACAAGCTGATACATATCTGTTAAAAACTCAAGGCGTCCCGTACGCATATTCTGGTACACGTCTGTTAAAAACTTCAGGCATCCCTTACACAAGATGATACACATCTGTTAAAAACTTCAGGCATCCCTTACAAAAGATGATACACATCTGTTAAAAACTCCAGGCATCCCTTACACAAGATGATACACATCTGTTAAAAACTTCAGGCATCCCTTACACAAGATGATACACATCTGTTAAAAACTCCAGGCATCCCTTACACAAGCTAATATACATCTATCATGACTCAAGATCTGTTTGACATGTTCGTATCTCATGCCTTAGTTAGTCTATGGTAACTACCTTCCTCAATCATAAAAAACCAAAATTTTTAATTAGATCTAATTGAAATCTGGTGTCAAATTCACCAAAACAAACTTTAATAAGTGAAAGAAACAACGAAAGTCTACTAAATTAGTGACCTACCTAGTCGTTCCATTCTTTCCCGTTCACGTTGCAAGAGATCACTGGCTATGCTGGTAGGAGGATAAACCCCAGGGATGTGATGACCCCCTCCAGGGCCCCCAACATTAGCTGCCGAAGGTAAAACATGACTTCCTGGGGGACAGAACCGTCTCTGTAGCTCTAACCAGTTAGAGTCAATCCCTGGTCCATGTGGTAGAATTCTATCCAATCCTGAAGACACACAAAAAGCTTTACTTATTCCTCAAATATTGATTTTTCCTAAGTAATGACAGGATCTTTTTTCTTTCTCTCAAATCACATGTTCTATCTAAAAAGTCAACATTAAGGATCAAATCTGAATAGAAATTTGAAAAAAAATTAGGTACAGGAACACTTTTTCACAAAAAATCGTTTTAAAACCCCTACTGCATATCTGCATAATAAAGTGCATCATGATGTGAAATTTCAGAAAGTGTCACCTAAGGTCACCTAGCCCTTGAACCAAATGAGCTATATTTTTTTTTAGAATTACCTGTAGGTCACTGATTTTTTTTTCTGAAGTGAGCTGTTATTTTTAGAGAATTACCTGTAGGTCACTGATTTTTTTTTCTGAAGTGAGCTATAATTTTTCGAGAATTACCTGGTTTACTAAGCTCTAAATCTGCTTTCAATTTCTCTCTCATTTCCATTTCACGTATCTCCCGTTCCCGCAATTCTCTCTCCCTGGCATCTCTTTCTCTCTTGTCGCGCTCCAGTTCCAATTCTAATCTGAAATCACAAATAAATAAAACAAAAATTATTGCATATACATTATCAAATGAATATTTTCATGTGAAAATTTTTATCTTCCTGTCTTAACTGTTGATATCTATGTGGTTTCCAGAGTAGGTAATTTACAAATATTTATTTGGATTTTAATGCATGTTTTACCATATTTATACAAATTACTCTTACCATATCATACGCAGAGCAAAATTTTTAATCTAAAAATTGAAATGTCACCTAAAATCTGCAGGCCAATTTCTTTGTGTGTTGAAGTTTGATTCAACGTAGTCAAAGAGAAATAACCCTAAAAATCTAATTCTAATACAAAAAAACACCCAACACATTCCTCATATAAAAAAAAAACAAAAACAAAAACACCTGCAACCAGTTGAACCTTCTCATATCTATAAACTTTATCTTAAAAATATTTTATCATTTTCGAAAATAACTTGAAATTATTATTTATTATTTTTATTTGACACAAGCTTGTATGTTTCAGATTACTGGCCACAATAGTACCTTTCACGAGAGCCAGGTGGATACATTGCTGCCATGCGGAAGTCGAGAAGGTGATCCATGGTATGGGGCATTCCTGCATAGGAAAGAGATCGTGCAGGTTCTGGGCCTGTCCAATCAAAAGAAAAAATTGTCATGAAAAAGTTCAGAAAAATGCAAAGCAATTCTTAAACTCATTAACACTCAAGATTTGTTTCGTTATACAAAATTACTGAGTGATTGACAAAATGAAACAAAGTTACGTTTCATTTCATCATACAATTCATTTGATTTATTTTTTGGAAAAGTTGATAATTTAATGAGGCCTATGGAACAAACCCAGATTTTATTATTTCATAAGACTAAACAGAAACTTTAGGTCCGGTATGTAGGACTATTATCTCATCTCATTTTTATCTTTCACTTTCAGATATTACGATATCAGTTATCAATATAAACACTAGGCTGATAATAGTTATCAGTATATACAGTAGATTGATAACAGTTATTCATATATACACTAGAATGATAACACAGCTGAGTCAATTTATCTTTGGTTGGTTCTGTCTCATTCTTTATCCTACAAGACCCCCCTCCTTTTTCTTTTCACCAACTTACCACTACCCATAACATGAGGTTTTGCATATTCACTGAGCTGACGTAGGGCTGGAGTGTCGGGATAGGATGAGCGAGGGGTGTGGCGTTCATAGGGATTATTTGGTGTTATGCTACTGGTGATCTGAGCATCAGCTGTTGAATTAGGAGGAGGTGTCTCTGGTTTTTTCTGTAGAATAAGAAAAATGTGTAAGAAACAAATCACAATTATCTGGCAGCATATTTTGAGCAAAAATCTGAGGGAGAAAATCATGTACATTTCCAAAGGAAAATTAAATAAAAAAAAAGAATTTAAAATTTTAGTTAACATGAACAGTGTGTAACATTATTTATATAGGTCAATGAACATACCATCTACAAATTGTTTATAGAAGAATTCTAGTAAATGTTTAATGTTAGGAGTCAAAGATAACCTTTCTATCAGGCTTAAATCTATATTTGTAATATGAATTTTATAACTTATTTAAAAGAAAAATATGAAACCATATTTGTATATTTGATTCTAGATAGGAAAATAATGAATTAAAACAAAAATGCTAGATAATGCCCTTTCTATCAGGCTTAAATCTATATTTCCGATATGAATTTTGTAACTTATTTAAAAGAAAAATATGAAACCATATTTGTATATTTGATTCTTTACAGGAAAATAATGAATTAAAGCCGAGAGCTAGATAATGCCAAGACCTGGGTAGTAAATACCAAAGATCAGGGTCACCACTAACTTACAGCACTAACAACCTTCTCTTCAGTTTTAACGGGAGTGGTGTGTGTCGGTGCTGCTCTCTTGCGTGCAAGCTTGGAATCAGGATGGGGTCTGAACACAACATCACAGCGAGAACAGCAATTGTTTTCTCCTCTGTTCAGCACTCTCATTAGTCTACAGATGCAACAGAATTTTTATATCTTTTTTCTAAATTTGTCCATGCTAATATCTCAATTTAAACAGTGTATGAAGCTAAGCAAAGGATATTTTCTTTGTCTTTTCACATTACAATAAAGTATGTTGAAAAAGCACTGAAAAGTCTTCTACTTCTAAAATATATTATTTGAAATGAAAAATAAATTCAATCGCTTTAATTTTCTTCGTCTTTTTACATTACAATAAAGTATGTTTAAAAAGCACTAAAAAGTCTTCTACTTTTAAAATAATATTATATGAAATGAAAAATAAATTCAATCACTTTTAAAACAATAATGTTACCCAGAGGTACTGATAGCCTTTTGGATTTGCTATCTGGTTTTGCTTTGGAACAAGGAATACTACACAAAACCACCAAGATGTACTTACATTGCATTTTCTGATTTGTAGATTTCTAAACTACATCGGGTAGGATCTGGCCCAGGAGAAGTTGTCCCTCCCTCATGGTCTGATTCTTCCTCTTCCTCCATCATAACACTAGTCTCGCCCACTGGTGTAGATGGCTCTGGTTTGACCCCTCCTCCAGGGGTCAATTTCTCTGTTGTACTTGTGTCCGTTGTGGATGAGGGAGAGATCAGTTCTTTAGGGGTGGTGGGCGGTTCATGGATGTGTGGGTGGGACCCATGAGGCAAAGTCCCATGGAGGAGGGGCCTAAGGGGGGAAGGTCCATGTGAGAGAGGTCCATGTTGAGAAGGCCCATGTGACGATGAGGATGATGATCCATGTTGGGTTGGTCCATGTGATGGAAGCCCATGAGGGGATGGTCCATGTGTAGGAGGCCCATGAGGGGATGGTCCATGTGTGGGAGGCCCATGTGTGGAAGGTACATGGGGAGAAAGCCCGTGTGGAGATGCCCCATGAGAATGTCCATGTGAGGAAACCACATGTGGGGGTGGTGGCCCATGAGAAACAGGACCATGTGTGTGTGATATATGGAGGGGTGGGGTTTTACTGTCCGATCTACCCCCACTACTCACAGAATCAGACACTCGACTGTTGGGCACTACAGTACTATTAGCACTGGATTCCAATCCTGGTTTGGAGAATGGTTGAAATGACTCTGTCCGAGAGGTAAAACTAGATAACGGTTCAGACTTCACTATAACACTATTCATGCTAGATTTGTCCTCGATTCCACTTAGTCGAGAGGCCGCATTGTCCATCAGGAGCTTGGAAGGCCCAAAGCTGTGTTTAGGAGATGGTGGTGGAGACACAGGCTCCTTTTTAATTGGTACTGTATTTGTGTGAAAGTCATCAAGTCGGGCTGGTGTTGACAAGGTACTGGCAGTGCTAACCTGAGGTAATGATAACGATGCCCTTGAGTGAAGTGATGACAGAGATGGTGGAGTAAATGGCGATGTTTCCCGGTGGAACGCCAGGTCCTGAGGAGTGCTGCACTGGAGCGACAGCGGCATGGATGGCGAAGTGGTTGACAGCAACTTCTCTGATGGCAATTTCTGCGATGACGGTAGAGAAATGGAAGATGATAAGGGTACAAGTGGGGGACAGGATGACACAGGGGAAAGAGGGTGCGAGTGATGGGGGAGGTGGTGAGGAGGGGGAGGAAGGAGTTGTGAAACTGGAGGGGGAGATGTATGAGGATGGTGAATATGTGCTGGCTCTGGCCGCACAAGTGGCACCTTGTCGTGAAGGTTGGCCACGGTGGCGGTGGAGACAGGAGTGACAATTGTTGCCACCGGAGACTGGACAGAGGTGTTGGTTGTAGAACTTTGTGATGACACCGGAGCTTTACTGGACTTGTAGTCGGTGTCTACAGAACGCGGAGTGCTGGGAGGTGAGGACGAGCTAAGATCATCCTGTAACAGATAGACAGATAGGCTCAGCCACTTAACCCCTCAGTGCCTATAAACCTGGCAAAACCCAACTACAACATGTCTTATCACAGTATCAACCCAGGCCTAAGGTGCAATAATCCAGATACTTTGTTATTATATTGAACCGGTCAACTTCTTCCTTATCATTAAAATAACCCTGTCAACTTGGTTCCTGAAATTACAATAACCCTGTCAACTTGGTTCCTGACATTACAATAACCCTGTCAACTTGGTTCCTGACATTACAATAACCCATGCAACTAGTTCCTTGATATTACAATAACCCTATCAACTTGGTTTCTTGCATTAAAATAACGCAGTTAACCAATAGCACTATCAGTTATTCAACAATGAGATCTAACTAGGATTGAACTCTTTCTGTCTCTGCAACAAACCTTGCTAAAAACTTGATATATACCTACAATCCAATCCCCACCACCCCTCCCAAATTACAAACTGATACAGACCTATCATCCCCACCCCCATCACTCCCAAATTACAAACTGATACAGACCTATCATCCCCACCCCCATCACTCCCACATTACAAACTGATACAGACCTATCATCCCCACCCCCATCACTCCCACATTACAAACTGATACAGACCTATCATCCCAGCCCCCATCCCTCCCAAAATTACAAACTGATACAGACTTATCATCCTAGCCCCCATCCCTCCCAAATTACAAACTGATACAGACTAAACATCGCCCCTAATTTCAAACTGATATAGATCTACAATTCCCCGATCCAAACTGTAACTAGTTCTACAGAATACTATAGCTGATATAAGATCCAATTAACCCTACCAACTGGTCTCAATCTACCATCCCAGTTCTACTGATGGCTGAAGTTAGGTGTAAAGATCTAAAGTGATTTGTTAGGTGCAGGTTAAATAGTAGAGAGTACAGAGTACATTGTAGATACAAACGTAGAAGACAAAACTAATGACACATTAGATGACATGGTACAGTAGAAAACATATTACACAAAACACACAAATACTTCACAGATATAAATATAAAATATGTATTCCTTACAAAATCAAATACGGGTATGATATGAATTTAACTGACAGATTATAGCTATTAAACAGATGGTATATACTCGAATAGACCAGAAAAATTGTTATTAAAACATTTCTAACTTTTAATATAATCAATTTTCTTCACTTTTTAAGCATCAACCATGACGTTTGATTCTATCCGTATTAAATGACCTCTGGTAAGACTTTTGACCTTTAAAACTTACCTGATTGTTCTCAATATCTCCTTCGTTACCATTCTCCTCCTCATTCCCAGATAAACTGCTGCTGTCAGACACCGACTCGGAATCTGACCGATCCTGTCAACAAATCAGTTAAATCTTACACAATCATGATAAATGTAGAATACATGAAAAGGGATTAAATGGTCATCAGACAATAAAGACTTATATATGATATAACTGCAGTACTAGGAAGTTATCAAATGATATAAACAATCAGATTCAGAATATTTTAGCAAATGGGAGGCCAAAGAGGCCTGAATTGCTCACTAGTTCTAAAACTCAAAGAAAGAGAGTTTTTCAACTCATAAAATCAATATTGGCAAACATGAAATCCTATTTCTCAAGCATACTGCTATATAAATACTATGACACAAGACCTGTTGCTTGTTGACAGAAATTTGAATTCCTCAACACATTTGACCCATGTGACCTGTAGAGTGTGTTAAGATCAATCATTTGAATAAACTTGGTAGCCCTTCATTCCAGCATACTACAAGCCTATCAGCACCATCCTGGCCCTTTTGTGTATCAAGAATAACTCATTTGAACAGAAGCTTTACATATGGCATAAAGTAGATGGCTAAAGACAACAGCTGAAACGCAATAGCTAACAGTCATCTTGACCCTTGGGATGGTAGTCTTTCAAGACCCACCCTTCAAAGTTACAAAGAGTTCAAATAAAATTTAGCATGGTTAGGTAGATATTGTATGACCAAGTAAGCTTTAGCTTGCAAACCCACAGAGTGACAAGATGCTCTGGTTACCTCAGCTTTCTTTTTCTTGTTGTGCTTGTCCTCTGAATCAGAGTTGGCTTGTCGCTTCTTGCCTTTGCTTTGGGCCTCAGTTGTCTTCTGTAATGACAAACACCAAAAGTTTGTTACACTTTTTCCACCAGCATTCTCAAGCACAAACAAGCAAACATTGAGTTTTACTTCAATTATAATAGGTCATCCTACTTTAACAAACCTGATATCTCTGTAAATTTTTGAATGCAGGTGTAATAACCTTGACCTAATTTGTTTGCATTTTATACGAACCCTATAATTACCTTTGACCTTCCTCAATTTCTCCCTATCTCCATTACAATGTATGACCTACACATGTGTTGACCCTCGTGACCTTTTTCTGGCAAGTACAACACATGACCTAGGTCTACTCACCTTGACCTTTTTCTGTGTGTCTGTGCTACTGTTGCTACAGGTACTACCAGTGCTGGGAGACTTGCGAGCCAGTGGGACGAGTGGATTAAGTGGGCTATCAATGATATCTGGACTACTAGTACTATTATTTCTCTCTTTCCTTTTGCCTTTTGTCTATAGAAACAAAATTTCAAAATTCATTTAAAACATTTGTTTTAAAAACAACTTCAAAATGAATAGAGAATGTAATTATTTCTGTGATTTTTAACCAAGAAATCTTCACATAGAATCTGTAATTGTCATTAATTTGATAGTCTTTATACTCACCGATTCTCGAGTCTGCCGCGTTCGCATATTGTGCCGACAGTTGACAGAATCCTCTTCCTTGACTGGCTGGAAGAGGAAGGGTGAAGGGTCGCGGGATGAGGGGTCTCGTGTTGAAGAATCGCGAGGACTCTCTAAGGGCCGCTCTTCCCCGTAGCGTTTGAAGTGGAGGCGACATTCTGTACAACGGAGACTCTTATCTTTACCAGCATGGTGCCAGTCTTTAGACACTGTAATAGAAAAAAAATAATACCTACAGTCACAAATATGTCTTACTATACAAACATAACCATGAATAAACATTTTAATTCTCATAAATATGCTAATATTTAGCAGTAGTATGGGGTAAGGCAAGTTCACAGGGATCAATTTCCCCATGTCTATACATGGTACATACATTTGCTTGATCCACTGTTATGGTTGCTGGGTATCTAATATTTGTGCTGAATCTAACGATAGCCAGAAAAACGAACACTAAAAATATAACCAACCCTACAGTCAGTACTAATCAAACTACTGTTGGTAGCAGCTGTGAATCATCTTTTTTTTAAGGTTTACTTGCTACAAAGTTTCAACATTCCTGAGCCCCTTAAGAGAATTCATATTTACGTATAAAGTTTCTTTTTATTTTTAACCTTTAAACCTTTGCTGGATCCTGCTCTTCTGTGGTCAAATTGATCTAAACCTGGAGAAAAATGTTTGATGTGACAGATGGAAGGCTTTCTCAAAGCTGAGTTACAAAACTAGTCGACTTGGGTGAAATCCTAAATGATATGAAAACCAAACCAGGACATCAGAGGACTCTGGAAGGGCTCCAGCCTTCGTTTGATGGACACTCAAAAAGGTTTCTGAATAAATTAAGAATACAAATTCTGTGTCATATCAAAGGGAAGTAACTGTGAGCTTTTGAATTTTCCCCAAGATACTTCAAAGGCTTTTCTCCAGTAAAGGAACTAAAACAGACTTTCTAGGGAACTCAAAATCTTTATATTAGTATCTAAACAAACCAATGCTGGCTGGTAAACATAAAGGTATTTTACTGTACATACGACCGGGTATACTGATTCTATGTAAACAGTGATACAACACTTTTTCTAGTCAATTTTTTGAAGACAGCAGATTTGAATAATGTTTCTACATTTGAAAAAATGATACAGGAAAATTTTAACTGATAACAACATGCGGAATGTTTGCAGACACACTTGTGAACACGGTTGTGTGGATTGGGATGTGACAACAGCACATGTGACATATGTGTTAACGATACTGTGTGCTGGGAAGTTCACAAGAACAGGTGTTATATACCCATATACTGTAATATAATTTAAAATGATAATTTGACAAAAAACTATAGGTATAATAATTACATATAAATGGTCTACCTTGAGTTAGCAACTGGCTACAACACTTGAGTTTAACACTATAATAATATTTACTACATACAAAATCTACAGGTCTGTTTCACTAATCATCACGTTCTCTATATCATTAACAATCTTTGCATGCATAATATATCAGCTATGCTTTGATGATATTTTCTAACAAATATCAGCTGTTATTGATCCTGGAGATAAGTATGTGTCCTTGACAGAAAATGCTTGCTGTTGATCAAGGAGCTAGAGGACTGAGAAAAGTGTTAAACCAACTTCCTGTTTGTATGTAATGAGAATGCAATTTACACTCAATTTTCAGATTTACTTATCAATACTTTCTTCAAATCTCACAGTCACTGGAGCGAATGACATAATATAAAAAAGTCATAGCACTTAATATCTGAATATCATTCTGTCTTGCTGATCATTCATCCATACCTTCGCTGTGAGTCTATTTTAGGACTTACTCGACAAACCAGAAGAACTTGGGTAGTAAGAGTATTTACTCTGGTATAAATTTCTACTTTATATCATACATTGTGAATGTTCAGATTTACAATAATTCTTGATCTAAGCAACTCACCTGTATGATTTAGATTTGTAGTGATCTAAGGGTACCTCTATGATTCAGATTTATATGGATCTATGGGTATGTGTATGATTCAGATTTGTATAGTACGGTTTGTATTATATACAGTTGTGCTGTTGTCGGAGGTCCAGTATGGTTTGTATTATATACAGTTGTACTGTTGATGGAGGTCCAGTTGTATTATATACAGTTGTACTGTTGATGGAGGTCCAGTACGGTTTGTATTATATACAGTTGTACTGTTGATGGAGGTCCAGTACGGTTTGTATTATATACAGTTGTACTGTTGATAGAGGTCCAGTACGGTTTGTATTATATACAGTTGTACTGTTGATGGAGGTCCAGTATGGTTTGTATTATATACAGTTGTACTGTTGATGGAGGTCCAGTACGGTTTGTATTATATACAGTTGTACTGTTGTTGGGAGGTCCAGTACGGTTTGTATTATATACAGTTGTACTGTTGATGGAGGTCCAGTTGTATTATATACAGTTGTACTGTTGATGGAGGTCCAGTACGGTTTGTATTATATACAGTTGTACTGTTGTTGGGAGGTCCAGTACGGTTTGTATTATATACAGTCGTACTGTTGATGGAGGTCCAGTACGGTTTGTATTATATACAGTTGTACTGTTGTTGGGAGGTCCCGTATGGTTTGTATTATTTACAGTCTCACTGTTGTTGGGAGGTCCAGTACGGTTTGTATTATATACAGTTGTACTGTTGATGGAGGTCCAGTACGGTTTGTATTATATACAGTTGTACTGTTGATGGAGGTCCAGTACGGTTTGTGTCATATACAGTTGTACTGTTGTCAGAGGTCCAGTATGGTTTGTATTATATACAGTCGTCTGTTGATGGAGGTCCAGTACGGTTTGTATTATATACAGTCGTACTGTTGATGGAGGTCCAGTTGTATTATATACAGTTGTACTGTTGATGGAGGTCCAGTACCATTTATATTATATACAGTTGTACTGTTGTCAGAGGTCCAGTATGGTTTGTATTATATACAGTCATCTGTTGATGGAGGTCCAGTTGTATTATATACAATTGTACTGTTGATGGAGGTCCAGTTGTATTATATACAGTTGTACTGTTGATGGAGGTCCAGTACGGTTTGTATTATATACAGTTGTACTGTTGATGGAGGTCCAGTATGGTTTGTATTATATATAGTTGTACTGTTGATGGAGGTCCAGTTTTATTATATACAGTCGTCTGTTGATGGAGGTCCAGCTGTATTATATACAGTTGTACTGATGATGGAGGTCCAGTACGCATTGTATTTGCTCCCACCTATTCTACACTCTAAGGTCTGATTTACATTTCCGTGTGGCACGTATTTCGTACACCTCAATACCTTTCACTGCTAGAACCAATCCTTGTGTCAATTCATCAGGAAACTGTTCTATCTAAGTTGTGTAATTTCTCGGTTAGTGGATAAGTTAGTTCAACAGCGTAGAGAGCTACTACCTTGATAATAGCCCTATACCCTGGAGCCTCCTGTTCTACATTCACCCTACAAATCAATAGACATATACTGCACACTAAATTGAGAATAAATGTGTCTGCTGCACATGTTGCAGGAACTGTTCTTAAACTTTGATAACTAGATCAGATAAAAGGTCACTGGGACAGTTCTACTGGGTCAATTCCACTGATAAAACACCTTAACATCAGACCAGCAGACTGAATATCCTGAGTTAGTGACATCATGTCTCCATAGGGAGTTCCCCATCACCATAATATAGGGACCATAGAAGTAGAGGATGATCACCACATGGTAACTACATGGTCACTTCATGGTCACCATATAGTCAACACATGGTCACTTAACACGATCACCTAAATGTAATCACATGGTCACTTAACACGGTCACCTCATTGTCATCACATGGTCACTTAACACAGTCACCTTATTGTCATCACATGGCCACTTAACACGGTCACCTTATTGTCATCACATGGTCACTTAACACGGTCACCTTATTGTCATCACATGGCCACTTAACACGGTCACCTCATTGTCATCACATGGTCACTTAACACGGTCACCTTATTGTCATCACATGGCCACTTAACACGGTCACCTCATTGTCATCACATGGTCACTTAACACGGTCACCTCATTGTCATCACATGGCCACTTAACATGGTCACCATATGGTCAATACATAGTGACTTAACATGGTTACCTCATGGTCACCAGTGCTCATTGTCATCACATGGTCACTTAACACGGTCACCTTATTGTCATCACATGGCCACTTAACACGGTCACCTCATTGTCATCACATGGTCACTTAACACGGTCACCTCATTGTCATCACATGGCCACTTAACATGGTCACCATATGGTCAATACATAGTGACTTAATGGTAATTCGGCTCTTAATTTCTATAAAATAAGACATACTTATTTGGGCTTGAATACTTTTCAAAGCTTTACACTACAATGACAATAAGTGACATCATAAAGATGTGACTTATTTATGACGTCACAATAGCATTATTATATGTGTCTTACAATACTTATGACATGGTCATATGACAAGACACAACAGGTCAGTTGTATGATAAATATAATTTAATCCTTTACTGATTTGTTATGATTTAGACAGGCAGACCCAATAACTGCAAGCATCAGTTTGATTCCTTTATCTCAGCCTATAACTTACAGAGTAACAGGAAAGACATGTATCTATGTATCTCCCAGCTGGCAGTCATTTTAATTACCTATTAAAGCAATAAAGAATGTGCTTTGTTGAAAAGGCAGGAAAGGGAAATTTATTTTTGTGTGCTGTGTTGAAGAGGTTGGACAGGGAAATTTATTTTTGTGTGCTGTGTTGAAGAGGTTGGACAGGAGAACCTATTTTTAAGTTGTCAATGAGAACATGCAATTAAGCATTTCTAGTAAAAGAAGCCTCATAACACATGTGCCCTGTTTTTTGTATATATAAAATATTCTGCTGTTTATAGATTCTCCGTTCTTCAAATAAATTTTCACAGACTGATCACCAGGCCATCAAGTCAGAGAAGTAGTAGATCACAGACTGATCACCAGGCCATCAAGTCAGAGAAGTAGTAGATCACAGACTGATCACCAGGCCATCAAGTCAGAGAAGTAGTAGATCACAGACTGATCACCAGGCCATCAAGTCAGAGAAGTAGTAGATCACAGACTGATCACTAGGCCATCAAGTCAGAGAAGTAGTAGATCACAGACTGATCACCAGGCCATCAAGTCAGAGAAGTAGTAGATCACAGACTGATCACCAGACCATCAAGTCAGAGAAGTAGTAGATCACAGACTGATCACCAAGCCATCAAGTCAGAGAAGTAGTAGATCACAGACTGATCACCAGGCCATCAAGTCAGAGAAGTAGTAGATCACAGTGGTAGATCACAGACTGATCACCAGGCCATCAAGTTAGAGAAGTAGTATCATCAGACTGATCACCAGACCATCAAGTCACAGAGATCACCAGGCCATCAAGTAGAACCAGTAGTAGAGAAGTAGTCACAGACTGATCACCACCAGGCCATCAAGTTAGAGAAGTAGTAGATCACAGACTGATCACCAGGCCATCAAGTTAGAGAAGTAGATCACAGACTGATCACCAGACCATCAAGTTAGAGAAGTAGTAGATCACAGACTGATCACCAGACCATCAAGTCAGAGAAGTAGTAGATCACAGACTGATCACCAGGCCATCAAGTTAGAGAAGTAGTAGATCACAGACTGATCACCAGACCATCAAGTTAGAGAAGTAGATCACAGACTGATCACTAGGCCATCAAGTCAGAGAAGTAGTAGATCACAGACTGATCACCAGGCCATCAAGTCAGAGAAACAGTAGATCACAGACTGATCACCAGGCCATCAAGTCAGAGAAGTAGTAGATCACAGACTGATCACCAGGTTAGAGAAGTAGTAGATCCATCAAGTCAGAGAAGTAGTAGATCACAGACTGATCACCATGCGATCTAGGTTAGAGAAGTAGTAGATCACAGACTGATCACCAGACCATCAAGTTAGAGAAGTAGTAGATCACAGACTGATCACCAGGCCATCAAGTTAGAGAAGTAGATCTCAGTCTGATCACCAGGCCATCAAGTTAGAGAAGTAGTAGATCACAATGCACAAGCCATCAGGTACACGGCCCACACACCTACCATCAAATCAACATTAAACTATAGCGCTACATCCTTCACAATAGCTTTATACTTTTTCCACATCTTCTTCACCATCAAAGTCCTGCCTTTCACAGCTCAAGGCAGTCATATATCTGTGTTATTGTGATGCTATCATTAAATTAATAGAAATTTGTAAACCATCCTTTTTCACGTGTCTACCACTGTGTTGGTAGATTTTGTAAGCTGGATTGATTTGTACACATGACTCCGGCTGTCAGCGCCTTTCCGGTTATAATCAGCTTTAATGCATGAACAGACTTAAAGCAGTATCAGTCACGGTTGAGTGAGAAAGAGAGGAGAACAAGCTATCCTTCCATGTCTTACCAGTGGCACATCACTGTGGTAAGAGTAGGCTTTGTTCTCTTTACTCCAGGTCAATCGTAACCTATTGTTTCAACACCAAAATAACACAAGCTGACAGCTGAACTGTTACCTATAAGGTACAACTGTACCACTTTATCAGCTGTCTGCCAGGGAGGGAGCTCTCAGGAGCATTTTGGTGTAATGATAATGATATTTGTATATCTCAGCCATTCCATCACTCCTGTCATAGACTAATCCTTATCTAAAACAACCATATAATATAGGTCCTATATGTTCCATTTTCCAGGAGTGCAAGTATTTCATCCCCTCATTCAGTTCTTCTGTGTTGCTCATGCCCTGGTATCTCAGAGCCACCGACCTCTAGTACCTGTGTTGTCCATGCCCTGGTATCTCAGTCACCCTCCTCTATTATCTTTGTTGCCCATGCCCTTGTATCTCAGAGCCACCCACCTCTAGTACCTGTGTTGTCCATGCTCTGTTATTTCAGAGCCACCGTCCTCTAGTACCTGTGTTGTCCATGCCCTTGTATCTCAGAGCCACCCACCTCTAGTACCTGTGTTGCCCATACCCTGGTATCTCAGAGCCACCCTCCTCTAGTACCTGTGTTGTCCATGCCCTGGTATCTCAGAGTCAACCTCCTCTACTACCTGTGTTGCTCATGCCCTTGTATCTCAAAGTCAACCTCCTCTAGTACCTGTGTTGTCCATGCCCTGGTATTTCAGAGTCACCCACCTCTAGTACCTGTGTTGTCCATGCTCTGTTATCTCAGAGCCACCCTCCTCTAGTACCTGTGTTGTCCATACCCTTGTATCTCAGAGCCACCCACCTCTAGTACCTGTGTTGCCCATGCCCTGGTATCTCAGAGCCACCCTCTTCCAGTACCTGTGTTGCCCATGCCCTTGTATCTCAGAGCTACCCTCCTCTAGTACCTGTGTTGTCTATGCCCTGGTATCTCGGAGTCATCCTCCTCTAGTACCTGTGTTGCCTATGCCCTGGTATCTCAGAGCCACCCTCCTCTAGTACCTGTGTTGCCCATGCCCTGGTATCTCAGAGCCACCTTCCTCTAGTACCTGTGTTGTCCATGCTCTGTTATTTCAGAGCCACCCTCCTCCAGTACCTGTGTCTCACAGTACCGCTTGCCTTATACACATGAGTGTTGTCCCTTAAAGAGCATCCCAGGGTCCCTGATTTCCTCTATAACATGTCTTGTATCTGTAATCATGGACCCTGACCTCTAACACTGATGTGCTGTCCCTACCTCTATAACATGTCTTGTATCTGTAATCATTGACCCTGACCTCTAACACTGATGTGCTGTCCCTACCTCTATAACATGTCTTGTATCTCTAATCATTGACCCTGACCTCTAACACTGATGTGCTGTCTCCACCTCTGTTACTTAATGGCACCTTGCCGTAAAGCTCTATGTTATGTAAGTAGCTCCATCAGTTATGTGTATATATCTTTCCAACCTACACACAAATCATTAATGGATAGTAGGCCATCAGCTGACCCTAGTTCTCCCAAGTCTTACATTTCAAAAACTATCAGCCTCTGTTCTCAGATAGCAAGAGTGTTGAAAGATTCACTCTTACAAACCTCCATCTATAGGCATGCGAGAGGTTCTTACTTAACAAGACTTAATCTCTTCAGTCTATATGCCACCAGATATAGGTGTCCCCAATAGGTTTTAAAAGTATTTTTGAACAAAAGTGGACACTTCACTGAGCTGAAACATTTCATGTTCCAATCATGTAAAGCTGAAATAGTCTATGAGCTAATAAATAAGGACTGGGGTGACCAAAAGAGGTGTTGCTTTCAGGCTGGAAAGCATGGTACTCCATTTATTTCCCAGTTAAAATTCTGATAATTTGAGATAGTTAGGAGCCTTACCTGTTGTGCAACAGTGACGACATGAGTACCCACTCAGCTCGCGACTAGCACCACTATCATCCGAGTCTTCTGAACACTCACTGGCTGAACAGCTTTGGTCACCTGAAACAGAAAGGGTAAAGGTCATATAACATCAAAGGTTATTACTGCACCTATCTTAACTGAGTCTTGTAATAACAAATTTAGAAGATAATCATATTGTCTTGTAACAAGCCCACCTGCTAACTGCAGTGGCAAGAGGTTATATCTGTAGTCAGAAATTATAACTGTAGTCAGAGGTTATACCTGTAGTCAGAGGTTATATCTGTAGTCAGAGGTTATATCTGTAGTCAGAGGTTATACCTGTAATAAGAGGTTATACCTGTAGTCAGAGGTTATACCTGTAGTCAGAGGTTATACCTGTAGTCAGAGGTTATATCTGTAGTCAGAGGTTATACCTGTAGTCAGAGGTTCTACCTGTAGTCAGAGGTTATACCTGTAGTCAGAGGTTCTACCTGTAGTCAGAGGTTATATCTGTAGTCAGAGGTTATACCTATAGTCAGAAATTATAACTGTAGTCAGAGGTTACACCTGTAGTCAGAGGTTACACCTGTATTAAGAGGTTATACCTGTAGTCAGAGGTTCTACCTGTAGTCAGAGGTTATATCTGTAGTCAGAGGTTATACCTATAGTCAGAGGTTATAACTGTAGTCAGAGGTTACACCTGTAGTCAGAGGTTATATCTGTAGTCAGAGGTTATACCTGTAGTTAGATGTTATATCTGTAGTCAGAGGTTACACCTGTAGTCAGAGGTTATATCTGTAGTCAGAGGTTATACCTGTAGTCAGAGGTTATATCTGTAGTCAGAGGTTATACCTGTAGTTAGATGTTATATCTGTAGTCAGAGGTTACACCTGTAGTCAGAGGTTATATCTGTAGTCAGAGGTTATACCTGTAGTCAGAGGTTATATCTGTAGTCAGGGTTATACCTGTAGTCAATGGTTCTACCTGTAGTCAGAGGTTCTACCTGTAGTCAGAGGTTATACCTGTAGTTAGATGTTATACCTGTAGTCAGAGCTTACATGGTTGATTAAAAGTTAAAAATAACTGCAGATCAATTCCGATTAAACAAAACCCTATCAAAACTTGGTCAATGGTCAGAGAGGATTCATAATTTGACAGCAATCAGTTATCAAGGATCATAATAAGACAACAGATTTTAAAATCTACAACAGAACTTAGAAATAACTGCCCCTGAATTGACCTGTATTTTTAAGGAGAAATTTCTGTTAGACATTTTTAGGAAACTACTTGACTGGCGCTATAAAACTTCAGTCCTGTTGGATTAGTTATTCCAATATCAGTTAGAAATGATCCACAGTAAAGTGTGGTGTCTGGTGATGTATCCCATCTCCCCATACCATGTGACCTCATATAACTGCAAAAGTATATTCATTTTTATCTGGAGTAATCATACTGATACACAGGGGAAGTCAAAATGTTTGCAGAACACAACTGTATTTTATATATAAAACTAGCAAACACATCTTAGACACAGTAATCAATAATCTCAAACAAATGCACCTGACCGTTTTCTATAAATAGTTATGGTGACCCTGACCTTGTAAATCTGAAACAAGAACTTACCAACATCAATAAAAACTCCTGGAAAATTTTGATATCTGTCAAGTGTGACCTTTGATCCTTAGCCTTGACCTTGTCTTATCAGGTGTTATTACTTTAATGCTATATTGTAAATCAAGATCAAATGTACTGAACTTACACAAGTCCTAGTTCCTCCAAACAATGTGGGGAATTATTTTTTGATGAGAAATGAAACTTTCCTTCATTAGTCTTTGGTGTGAATTCAACAGATAGATTTAAAATTTAACTTATCATACACTCAGGGATTTAAAGCAGAGTCTCATGAGACAAAATTTTGTGTTGTGAATTGGTTGTGATGTGATGTTTGAATATCAAAAAAAAAAAAAAAAAATTGTTCTTCCTTATTAAATAGCCATCTATAAAACAGTCTTGCTAAAATAACTGTACTTGTCTTCTGTCAAACCAGCATTCATGTGATACAAACAAATGTTCAGCCAAGCTGGAAACCAAGTTCTGTATCTAGAAGTCACTTTTTCAAAGTGTCCATATCAGACTTGAGATTTCCACAAAACCCAAAAGATAATACTTACCATTAAATTGCGAATTTTATTTGTCTTGACATAAAATCAGAAGTATTCTGATACAGCAAAAAAATAAAAATTCTCACTGTAAAAAATATCCGTCTTCCACTTTTTCATTATCTTTCAATACAATAAACAGAAAGAATGAAATGTATATACACATCTTAGATTTCTGTCAATAACAATTGTCTACATTCAACGCATCTCTATTTCATATCTCTCAAATTGAAGCCAGGATGTACTGAATATCATGGGAGTGTTTGCTTTTCACAATAATGCAGTATTGCAGATATTACAAAATCTTTTTTTTTCTTTTTTTCTTTGTTAGATTTATAAAATGTACTTCCCAAATTTTACTTAGGTGCATAAGTATGACATTTTTGATTGCTTGGTCACTAGTGGTGAACGACCAATAATGGAAAATCCATTAGTCGAAATGATGTGTGACAAAACTACTTCATAACTGGGTCCCATTTTTTGTATTTCTTTTTTTTCCCAACTTTTTAAAACACAGTATCCCAAATATCTAATATTTCTGCTAAGGAATTCCATTGCATCAAGAGAAAATCCCGGTCAAGTAGATACTCACAGAAGTCACTTGAAGTCGGGCGCTGGGAGCGAGTGTTGCGTTTGAAGGCAGGACGTTTGTGTCGTCGGTACGGTCGATTGGATGTGGCACCAGGAGTTTTCTTCCAAAAATAATAGTATTCGACCAGTTCTCCCTGTAAAGACATAAGACCAATACATATATGTAAGTATGTAAATCACTTTGTGTACAAAATACAATTATTCCAGAACCATGCATCAAGCTACAGCCATGAATGTTGATGTTGATGAGAAAATTTCATACAGTAGAAGAATTTCTCACTAAATACAAAGTCCTAAGTAATTTCTGTTTTTATCTAGCTTATGAGGTCTTCTTTGCCTCCTGTGTACCATCTTCAGTTCAACCAAAAGAAAATACCATCATGTGACAAAGAAAACAAACTGAATCTGGTCTGTACATATTACAGATGCTCACGCAGTAATTATCAACAAGTAAGCCCATACTTGTAATGATCTATTGCTATGGTAACAAATACCATGTCACTGTCCTACAATAAGTGTACCTTCTCTACTTTCAGTCAAAACTTGTGGGTTGATTCCCTTGGTTAGATAAACACAGTACTGTTTTGACAGTATAAAGCCCCTCAGGAGCCCATCTGAAGTAAAAACCTGGATATTTAATAATTTATTCAGATTTTCTACGTTAGTCTAGAATATCTTGACAATAGATCTTATTACACACCAAGTTCTGGCTGTATCAGAGTGATGTAGGTAGCTACACCTATAACACAGAGCTAGTGAGCTGTCTGGCTGTATCAGAGTGAAGTAGGTAGCTATACCTATAACACAGAGCTAGTGATCTGTCTGGCTGTATCAGAGTGAAGTAGGTAGCTATACCTATAACACAGAGCTAGTGAGCTGTCTGGCTGTATCAGAGTGATGTAGGTAGCTATACCTATAACACAGAGCTAGTGATCTGTCTGGCTGTTATCAGAGTGATGTAGGTAGCTATACCTATAACACAGAGCTAGCGAGCTGTCTGGCTGTATCAGAGTGATGTAGGTAGCTATACCTATAACACAGAGCTAGTGAGCTGTCTGGCTGTATCTGTGTGATGTAGGTAGCTACACCTATAACACAGAGCTAGTGAGCTGTCTGGCTGTATCAGTGTGATGTAGGTAGCTATACCTATAACACAGAGCTAGTGAGCTGTCTGGCTGTTATCAGAGTGATGTAGGTAGCTACACCTATTACACAGAGCTAGCGAGCTGTCTGGCTGTATCTGTGTGATGTAGGTAGCTACATCTATAACACAGAGCTAGTGAGCTGTTTGGCTGTTAGAGTAATAAAGTTAGCTACACCTATAACACAGAGCTAGTGAGCTGTCTGGCTGTTATCAGTGATGTAGGTAGCTACACCTATAACACAGAGCTAGTGAGCTGTCTGGCTGTATCAGAGTGATGTAGGTAGCTATACCTATAACACAGAGCTAGTGATCTGTCTGGCTGTATCAGAGTGATGTAGGTAGCTACACCTATAACACAGAGCTAGTGAGCTGTCTGGCTGTATCAGAGTGAAGTAGGTAGCTATACCTATAACACAGAGCTAGTGAGCTGTCTGGCTGTTATCAGTGATGTAGGTAGCTACACCTATAACACAGAGCTAGTGAGCTGTCTGGCTGTATCAGAGTGAAGTAGGTAGCTACACCTATAACACAGAGCTAGTGAGCTGTCTGGCTGTATCAGAGTGATGTAGGTAGCTATACCTATAACACAGAGCTAGTGAGCTGTCTGGCTGTTATCAGTGATGTAGAGCTGTTATCAGAGTGATGTAGGTAGCTACACCTATAACACAGAGCTAGTGAGCTGTCTGGCTGTATCAGAGTGATGTAGGTAGCTACACCTATAACACAGAGCTAGTGAGCTGTCTGGCTGTTACAGTGATGTAGGTAGCTACACCTATAACACAGAGCTAGCGAGCTGTCTGGCTGTATCAGAGTGATGTAGGTAGCTATACCTATAACACAGAGCTAGCGAGCTGTCTACTTGTTGTATAAACAGATTGTGGTTTAAACACCTGATCAAGTCTTGACACATCAGGGTAAGAACACCTGATGTCATTCACCAAATTATTTGTCATCTTTAGTTAAAACTTGTCCAGGCAATCTGTGGTAATTACGTTGCACATGGAAAAGTCCTCTACAACATGTTTTTTTACACATAACAAAGGTTAATTATAAATATGTGAAGCAGTTAAATATCAGCTATACATATCAATTGTCAAGGTAACATGTAAGATATATTTCTTAAAGTTTTAGGGTATTCTAAGTTAATATTCTATATGCATGTCAAAAAGATAAATAATTTAATTCAACAACATATGTATGTCTAGAACAGAGCACAATAGTTACAAAAGTCACAGCTGATATCCATCACAAAGTAGGGTGAAAATGAATCCAACCATCAGAGGTTGGTATCTGGTCAAGTGAAGAAATAACCAATTACAGGACACTATAATCAATAAAGGAACAGACTGACCAATACTGTTGTGTGTCCATCAGGAAGAGTGGTACAACACCAGTTGTCTGTCCTTGGTGTGTGTGCACGGCATTACTTTACCTGTCTCCTCTTTGTGCCTGTGTAAGCATACATGACAGAGGATAAAAAAAACAAGCCATGAAGTTTATTTCTGCATATGTCCGGCAATAATAGGCCATCTGAGGCCAACATAAAGATGTTGGCTGGCCTGTCAGATATGTCAGAAATGTGGTTATTCAGAGTGTTGAATGGCTATCAATATTAATATAACAGAGCTTATAATAGCCAACAAGGCTAAAGACAATAGCTAAAAGCTTGCCTTTTGTCCATAAAGCTGGTGTGTCCATTGATTTCTGTGTCAAACAGGGTGTTTGCACATGGACATTGGGCTTAGGGATTGGCCTTCTACTAACCTAAGAGATCATCCTTACTACACCTCCGACATATGACCTCTCTAGGTCAAACAACCTGATAGAGTCTATATAACATTTGGTATCTTAGGTCAGCCAATCATCATGAATCTATTTAACATGTGACCTCTCTAGGTCAGATAACCATCCTTAGTCTATAAAATATCTGACCTCTCCAGGTTAGTCAGGTTCTCTGTCCTATTAATCATATTGCTTTTTCAAAACCATACTGACTGTTTAAACAGCCAAAATATCATTATAGGAAGCAACAGCATTGGTGGTATAACAGGAGTTATCTGCCCCTGAGTAATTAAGTCTTCCCTTTACAACTTTTGTGGTAAGTACCAGAGCCTAATAGAAAAGTTAAACACCAAAATGAATGACAGTTGTAGATACAAGCTAGGAGGCAATACACTTATCAAATTGGCTCACAGATATCATAAGTAGCCCTGATAGTATACAGCACCGTGTGTATAATACTGTAACATATATTTACCTATTAAAGGTTAACCAAAGTAACTACCGGCTTCAAAGACGCCTAAAACAAATATCTGGCCATTAATATGAGAGGTGAGAGATTTTAACATCAACCAGCATTTCCTTAACATTATCTGAAATATTTCAGCTTCTGAAAATATGACACCTTCAGGTAAAGAAACATTCAATTTCCAGGCAACCAGGGCCATAAATGTAAATAGCTGTGACAGACTTACTGATACAATAAAGAGTTGTCGTTAGGTTTCACATTTTTTAAAACAACGTGTGTTCAAATAAATTAATAATTCAGAAAAGACAAGCATAAGCTTGTTGTAAGTATGATACACTATAACAAAAGGCCGATAGGGTTGGTATTGCTCATCTGGATCTTTTAGCTTTCACTTCAAAAAATATTTCATTTCGAATTATATCATTTTCCTGAAACGATGAAGAATCTTGTAGCTTTTAAACTGTTTTCTGAGAAAAAATAACTTCACCCAAGCAGAGAATAACAGTGGGAAATTTAAAATCCTATCTCTATTTCTCATATGCCCGTCAGCAGACCCTTAATTTATGCCAGAATACTTTCATTGCAACAGAATGTGATGGATATAAACAATTGTGTCTATCTATCCTGCCTGGCCATGCCCCTTAGCCTTCAGGAGGACTAGATCAATCAATTACACAAAACTAAGTTCTTGTCTTCCAAGAATGCTTAAGATAAAGATTCAACAAAGTTCTGGTCAGATCCTTCCTTTATACAAAATGAGATTCCTTCACCAAAGGATGCATCCGACCACATTTAAACAAAATCCAAACATTCGGTAGAGAAATAAAATTTTATAAAGAACATTTTTGCTTTGGGCATCCCCCTATGGCCCCTACAGCCCAAGATCAATCATTTATACAAGATCTGTAAACTTTCCCAAGAGATACTTCTAGCCATATGTGGTGAAATTCCCCTTATAGGTCACACCTGTATAATACTTAAATAAAATGTTGTACCTTTAATGAATGGGTCAATTTGTTTTATATTTGATATTTTGAATAAACAAGATCCACACATAAAGTTTCAATTAATTAACAGTAAACTATTGGTGAAATTCAGAAATGCTTTGGGATATACATAAATATAAGTATATTCCAGGTGTAGATATAATTAAATGACAGCTCATGACAGAAATAAAGTACGGAGCTAAAGTTCAACATGGCCAGATTAATTCACTAAGTCCAATTGACCGTACGCTGTTCATTGAATTCCGGTCTGCAATATTTTGTTGAGTTGGTCATACATAAGAAACCAAGCATATTCCAAGACTAGTTATAGAAGCTCATGTGGTTCTAGAAAAAACTCAAATCCAAACAAGCTGGAAAAAAAAAATAATTGGCCCAATTATGAGTCAACTGTAGGTAAAAATTAGAATCTGAAGTGCGTGTTGTCATTTATAGATATATTTGAAGTTTTGTCGTGCTTACAAACTTTAAAGCTTTATGTGGAGCTATACAGAGAAATTGTCATGAAACAAAATCCAATTTATTCCCAACTTTATGTTAAAAGCTTTATTGAAAATATGTATTAAGATGATTTGGTTATACGATAGCACTCGTAATTTTATTGAACACTTAGAGAAAATGTAACATCTATATTTCTTTTTGCAACACCGTGGCAGTTCATTGCAAAGCAAAATGTAAAAAGGTAACGAACTAGGCAGTATGACATCAGCTCACCAGCCCTCTGGACCAGGTGAGATC